AACATGCCTGGGGCCTGTAGTGTTTTGAGGAGACCCTACAATAACACAAGCTGGGGGAGGCATGTTCACCATTTTGGGGAGGCCCTACAGTAACATAAACATGCCCGGGGCCTGTAGTGTTTTGTGGAGACCCTACAATAACACAAAGAGGAGTGGGAGACCCTACAATAACAACCTGGCATTCTCTGCCTAGCCAAACTCATTGCCCATAAGAAAGATGGCGGGTGAGGGGGGTTATTCCCCCCCTCCCATTGGGGATAAAGTACAACATGGCCGCCAATCAGGAGTGGGAAAATGTGCCCTCAACAAATATGGTGGCAAGTCAGGTGTCATAAGTCTGCGCCCATAACCAAGATGGCCGCCGCTTCGGCTCCTTGGAGCGCCAAGTGTTGCCCTCAAAAGATCTGTCGGGCCGGGGGATCCGCGTCATCATTTCCACGCCAACCTCCAAGATGGCCGCCGCGCTGCCTTCACCGCATACACAGCCGCATGGGCCCGCCCAGAAGAAAGATGGTGGACAAAGGCCTTAGTACGCAGGCGCGGGCTGGAGAGGCCCCTCGAGCCGGGTATAGGAGCTCGAAAGGTGCCTGGACAAAATCTTCGCGATCGGAGGCGAACAAGCGGCGTCGCCGCCACAGGGCGAACAGACCCGGCAGCTCGGAGCCAAGGAGCGATCAGGGAACGAGCGGCGGGAGCGGGGGAGGGCGAGTAGGTCGGTTTCACGGTGTATTTAGTCAGGCGCCTGCCCGGACAGCCCCGAGGCGAAGGACCGGTAGTGGGAAAGAGGGGGCGCGCGCGCGCGCGCGCAGCTCTCGCGCATGCGCAGTCGGGCGCAGCGGCGGCGAGAGGCGGCTGGAGGGAGTCGCTCCAAGGAGGCGCCGGGTCCCGCGGCCGCTTCGCCCCGTTCCGGGCCCGCAGCGTCTCCCCGCCCGGGGGGGCCCCGAGGTGTTCCTCCCCCCCCCCCGCGGCCGCCGGACCCCTGCAGGGGACCGGAAGTTGCCCCCTGGGGCTTGGGCTGCACCGGAAGTGGCTCCGGCTTGACCGGAAGTACCCGCCTGGGAGGCCGGGGGGCGGGGCCAGCTGGACTTGGCGCCCCTCCCCCACCCCCAGCCGAGAGCGGCCCCTGGAGCGGGGTGAGCGTCGGGGGGGGGGCGAGTCCGAGCTGCGCGTGTGGCCCCCCCGGGATAATGTCGGGTGGGGGAGGGGAGGAGCGTGGCCGGAGGGGTGGGGATGTGGGGTGGGAGGGGCATGGGGGGCAGGGGAGGGGTTTGGGGGGCAGGGGTGTAAGGTGGGGGAGGGGAGAAGCTTGGTGGGAATGTGGGGTGGGAGTGGGGAGGAGCATGGCAGGAGGAGTGGGGAAGGGGAGGGGTTTGGGGGGCAGGGAGGGGTGTGGGGGGGGGAGGGGGGGAAGGTGGGGGAGGGGAGGAGCGTGGCGGGAGGGCTGGGGATGTGGGGTGGGAGAGGGGAGGAGTGTGGGGGGCAGGGGAGGGGTTTGGGGGGCAGGGAGGGCCAGGGGTATAAGGCGAGGGGGGGTTCAGGACACCCAGGGGCAGCTGATCTGGAGGGACGAGGGGACCCGCTCGCGTAACCCGCTGTCCCGTGACAGGAGCCGGCGCCATGGCGGAGCCGGAGAACCTCGAGGTGATGGTGAAGACGCTCGACTCGCAGACCAGGACCTTCACCGTGGAGGCGGAGGTGAGAGGTTGGGAGGCTGCTGGGTGTGGCTCGATCCGGGGGCCGTTTCCCTTGGGGGTCCGTGCCGGCGCCAAGGGATGCTCTGCACCGGCCCCATTCGGCTCTTTGGCAGATCCTGCGTCCCACCCCAGAGCCAGCCGCATCTCAGCCTGGGGTGGTGGGTCCCCGACCAGCCAGCTCCTGCACCCCACCCCAGAGAAGTTGTCATGGGATAAAAGGGAAGGTCCTTTCATGGATTGAGAACTGGTTAAAAGACAGGGAACAAAGGGTAGGAATTAATGGTGAATTCTCAGAATGGAGAGGGGTAACTAGTGGTGTTCCCCAAGGGTCAGTCCTCAGACCAGTCCTATTCAACTTATTCATAAATGATCTGGAGAAAGGGGTAAACAGTGAGGTGGCAAAGTTTGCAGATGATACTAAACTGCTCAAGATAGTTAAGACCAAAGCAGACTGTGAAGAATTTCAAAAAGATCTCACAAAACTAAGTGATTGGGCAACAAAATGGCAAATGAAATTTAATGTGGATAAATGTAAAGTAATGCACATTGGAAAAAATAACCCCAACTATACATACAATATGATGGGGACTAATTAAGCTACAACAAGTCAGGAAAAAGATCTTGGAGTCATCGTGGATAGTTCTCTGAAGATGCCCACGCAGTGTGCAGAAGCGGTCAAAAAAGCAAACAGGATGTTAGGAATCATTGAAAAGGGGGTAGAGAATAAGATGGAGAATATATTATTGCCCTTATATAAATCCATGGTACGCCCTCATCTTGAATACTGCGTACAGATGTGGTCTCCTCATCTCAAAAAAGATATACTGGCACTAGAAAAGGTTCAGAAAAGGGCAACTAAAATGATTAGGGGTTTGGAACGGGTCCCCTATGAGGAGAGATTAAAGAGGCTAGGACTCTTCAGCTTGGAGAAGAGGAGACTAAGGGGGGATACGATAGAGGACTATAAAATCATGAGTGATGAGGAGAAAGTGGATAAGGAAAAGTTATTTACTTGTTCCCATAATACAAGAATTGGGGGTCACCAAATGAAATGAATGGGCAGCAGGTTTAAAACAAATAAAAGGAAGTTCTTCACGCAGCGCACAGTCAACCTGTGGAACTCCTTGCCGGAGGAGGTTGTGAAGGCTAGGACTATAACAGCCTTTAAAAGAGAACTGGATAAATTCATGGAGGTTAAGTCCATTAATGGCTATTAGCCAGGATGGGTAAGGAATGGTGTCCCTAGCCTCTGTCTGTCAGAGGATGGAGATGGATGGCAGGAGAGAGATCACGTGATCATTGCCTGTTAGGTTCACTCCCTCTGGGGCACCTGGCATTGGCCACTGTCGGCAGAGAGGATATTGGGCTGGATGGACCTTTGGTCTGACCCGGTACGGCCATTCTTAGGTGTCTGCATGCACAGGGTGGCGACCCAAGCGTGTGAGCTGAGAAGAGGTGATGGGGGGTGGGTTTGACCCCACTGGTTCTTGCTCCTTTCCTCTGTAGGTGACGGTGAAGGAGTTCAAAGAGCACATTGCGGGCTCAGTAAATATCCCCGCGGAGAAACAGCGTCTGATCTACCAGGGACGCGTCCTGCAGGATGACAAGAAGCTTAAAGAATATAGTGAGTGTCGGGGGCTGCGGTTTGGGAGTGAGGGGCACCGGCAGAGCTGGGGGCGGTGGGAGTCCAGGGCTGGGCTGGCAGGGGCTGCGGGTCGGGAGTGAGGGGCACCGACAGAGCTGGAGGGAGTCCAGGGCTGGGCTAGCAGGGGGCTGTGTGTCAGGACTGAGGGGCATCGGTAGAGCTGGGTGGGGTGGGAGTCCAGGGCTGGGCTGGCCGGGGCTGCGTGTCAGGAGTGAGGGGCACCGGTAGAGCTAGGGTGGGGCAGGGCTGGGCTGGCCGGGACTGCGTGTCGGGAGTGAGGGGCACCGGTAGAGCTGGGAGGGGGGCGGGGCCCAGGGCTGGGCTGGCCGGGGCTGCGTGTCGGGAGTGAGGGGCACCGGTAGAGCTTGGGGGGATGGAGACCAGAGGTTTGAGGTTCTGATTTTGCCCCCTTTGTCTCTTCTTTCCAAGATGTTGGGGGCAAAGTGATCCACTTGGTGGAACGTGCCCCTCCCCAGACTCAGTCGCCCTCCTCTGGGGGTCCCTCTGGAGCCAGCTCGGCCTCAGCTCCCCACAATGGCATCGGGGGACGGGGAGCCGGTGCCACCGTCCACGACCGTAACGCCAACAGCTATGTCATGGTCGGGACCTTCAATTTACCAGTCAGCATTATGGACCCGCAGCCGCCCTCACAGGTGAGTTCCTGCGGGGGGCGCCGTGCTACGGGGGCGGGGGGGGCTCTCTCCTGCCGGCAGCGCTAGCCCCAGTGGCCGCCGGGGGTGGGCTCCTGGAAGAGGCAGGTTCTCGCTTTCCTCTGGCAGTTTGCTTCGGTTTATTCTCTGTGTGGTTCTCTGACGGGTGTGAGATCGTCTAGCCGGTGTGTGATGGACGGGTGGGAACTCAGGACTCCTGGGTTCTCTCCCCGGTGCTGGGAGGGGAGTGGGGGCTAGTGGTCAGAGCGGGGGGGGCTGGGAGCCCGGACTCCTGGGTTCCATCCTGGCTGGGGGAGGGCAGGAGGGGTCCAGTCTCTATCCACCTCCCACTTGTGCTGAGTGTCTGTGGCCCCTCCCCCCTTCCTCTGTTTTTATTTATTTTTCTCTTTCTTTTCCTGTTTTTCCTCCTTTCCTCCTTTTTTGTTTCCTTTGGTTTTCTCCGTCTCTTCCTCCTTCACGCCCGTCTCCTCCCTCCTCCCCCTAAGATCGACGGATCCTCTGTGGATGTTCATATTAATATGGAACAGGCTCCCATACAGGTACTGGAGGGGGGTGGGCGCGGGGGGCGGAGGGGTGAAAGGTCAGCAGGGGGTTGGGGGCGGGGGGGGTCTGGGAAGGGTTAGAGAATTGGCAGAGCACAGGGGGGTTCTGGGTCTGAACCAGTGAAATTGGGGGGGCAGGGCTAGAGAGGACAGGCAAGAGCTCAGTGGGCCCATGGGGCTGATCATGGGGTTACCTGGCAGGATAGTTTGTGGGTCTCATCGGGGGGGTGGGGCAGGCAGGGCCATGGATCTCATCCAGGAGGTGGGGGTCCCAGGCTGGACGAGCCTGGGGGGTGTCCTGGGGGGTCTGGACTGGGGGTCCTGGGTGGCTGGGCCTGGGGTCTGGTCCGGGTTAGTATCAGGCTGTCCCCTTGTGAGCTCCACTCCCAGGCCCAGCCCTGACCCGGCCCCGCCCTGTCGTTCCAGAGCGAGCCCCGCGTCCGCCTGCTGATGGCACAGCACATGCTCCGAGACGTGCAGGGCATCCTGGGCCGGCTGGAGGTGAGTGCCGTGGGGCTGAGCCCTGGCTGGGGGTGGGGGTGGGGGGGC